GTTTTGGGATAATTCTATTTGGATTGTGTTTTCGCAACCAATAACAACTTTGACTATAACTAATCGATTCACGTCTTTATAAGCTTTGAGAAGTTTTCCCTCTGAAATAATACGACCAAACTAATGCTTACGATATCACTAAAAAGTTTCTTTTTGTAACATAGATTTCTTACAATTTCCATGATAGTAAATAGTTATAATGTCTTCTAAAATAAATTTATTGTACACAGAAACACTCAAATTAGTAATACATTTAATAAAACTTAATATTAGAAACAAAATTTAACAAAACAATCTTTTAGAGATTGCAAATATTTGACTAAATTATTACATTACTGTTTAGTCTTGCTTTTTTAGAATAAAACCACAAACACTTGACACTGGCCCAATCTGCTATGGGAGAGCCAAAAACAAGAAATAGAATATAGTCTCGTTTTGATTCCTATAAGCTTATATGGAGTAGCGCACAATACTTGATTTTTAGTTGTGCAACTAAACAGTTGAATTGGTTGCGAAACAATCGACAATCGCATAACAGTTGAACGATAGTTTAGTCAAAAGTGTGCGCTCGTTCTTAGAATCCATATTAAATTATGAATTGATAAAGTACACGCTTGAACACAAAAAACTTGATTATAAGAAGAACTTTTCTTCCTTTCAGCACATTTCTGAAGTTGTTATATTGAAAAACTCGTGGAAAAAGTATTCAGTCGCCTAAATAAGTTCTTGTTTGCGGCAAGGAATTTATCATTCCCTCAAACTACGGTTGTGATTTATACCCGAATGCTGTTAAAGTGGGTCAAAGGTGGGAAAGACTGTCAATGTAAATGAGTTCGCATTTTTCTAGAAAGGAAAACACATTTGAAATCATATTGTATCATTTTTACATTTATACGCAAGTGAAATAAATCTACATTTACCGCCAACTTTCATACAACCATTTCGCATACTTTTACTTTTAGTCTCAAGGCCACAAGTTCACAGAAATTGTTCAAAGGGCTGCCTTCAAAAGGATCGTAACGAGATATTTGTGTTTCTTCCAATAGAAATAATTTCATTTACACGAGTATGCTTTCTAATTCATTTATTTGTAAGGCAAATAAAGATAATTTATATAAAGTTAGTTTGTTATAGGACTTCTTGTGTATTCCGTGGTTGTCAGAAAACAGAATAATGTGAATGAATTGGTCGATTATTGTACAGTACTGAAACGATTGAACTATAGAGTAGGAATCTTCCTCATGTTTAGTGCTTTAGATATAAAAAGACTAGCTTTCGTCCACAACTCTGTTCGCGTGGAATTAAAAAAAATAGTAAGTAGTCTATGTGTTTCTCCAGATTATCCTCTACATTTTTGCCAGATTTCATCGAGATCCGTTCAACAGTTTAGGCTACAAACTCTAATAAACAGCCATGTAAACTTTCGCATTTATAATATTAGTATGAAGTATGATGGTAGTTTGGTAAATTTATATTTACCGTAGATTTGGTATTGCTGTACTGTAATTTACTTTCACATACAATTGTTTATGAACTTTACATGTCGTCTTTGTACATTGTTTGGATTAAATTATTACAGTGACGGATCCTTTAGTTTAGTCTTTTGTACTCGGATCCTATACATTACTTAAGACACCCTTTATACTGTCACAAACATGTTAACTATACAGCTTAAAGTAGGATTACTTAGCTACTTAGCCCGCTTTTATTGGAATATAGTTAATAATCATACTTAATATTATAAAGCAAATGTTTAGATGATGGATGGATGTTTGTTAGTAGTGAACGGTTGAACGGATTTTGATGAAATTTGGTATAAACGTAGAGTATAGTATGGACGAACACGTAAGCTACTCACTTTTGATTTTTATAATTCAACGTGGACGGAATCGCGGGCGAAAGCTAGTACAGTAGAACCTAGTACCAGAACCAAGTAGAAGCTAGTACGATAACTCAAACCTCGGTAACATAAAAACCTCTATAACTTAAAAAAAAATATATGTTTCCTTCCCATCAGAGCTCAAAACCTCTACAACATAGACCCTTGATAACTCAAAACCTCTATAACTTAAAACATTTTGTGTTTCCTTTGGACTTTAACTTATCGAGGTTCTACTGTATAACATAGTTTTGTTAAATAATATTTTATGTAATGTGCAAAATTAACACGCTTGATTAGTTATCTATATTTACTCTATACTAATAGAATAAAGCTTTTCTTCTATTCTATTTCTTGTTTATGGCTCTCCCACAACGGATTGCGCCAGTGTCAAGTGTTTGTGGTTTTATTCTAATATGGGAGAAACTGGCAACAAAACTCTGCTTATGGAGACATTCGTGGGTGTACAAGCGGTAAGAATAAAGCGTAAACATACCCTACTTCGTGGCATAGGATGTCGGCAATTACAGCATGTTTTTGAATAATTCTTTCTTTAATAAAAAGCCCTACACTTACGACACGTTTTAGGATACATTTTCACGTTATTAAAGTTAGGGAGTAAATCAATTGGAAAAAAAACCTTTATGTGGGAAAGGGACCATAAACTACAAGCTGCTAACAGTAAGGAAGCAAGTTTATTATGGTAACAGTAATTTTGAAATTTGCAATTGAGAATTTGACATATGTAAACAATGAAATGCACGCAAGTGTACAGGTAGTGTGTTAATGATTAACAACTTATTAGACTTGTGAGCAAGCATTAAATAATAGGCTACAAGTGTAAAACATTTCTAACATCAAAAATGTACACCTTTGAATAGCAGATAAGGGATATTTGAATGTCGAATAATATGCAAAACAATAAAAGAGAACAAAGAACACTTTGTTATCTTCGTAATTTGGAACGGACAAACATCCGTAGGAGAGTAATCAGTTGTCTCTAATTAAGGGAAATTCGCTTTTCCTCACGACTGGTTCGCAAGTGGGTCATGGGGCGGCGACCGTTTATTGAACGTGTGCATTCGTGCTATGGGGCTGGGGTTTAGTAAGAAATTTGACGTTAAACCCTGTATGTAAATGTTAGAATACGCGAACAGAAAGATAAACTATCAGGTAATAAAAAGCTAACTACACTCTAACGAAGACAATTTTTATTAATATTCAAAGAACTCAATCAATGCTTGAATCGCAGTTTGTATCGCGGTAAAGTCCCATGCGAATTCACTTTAACTAAAATTGAATCTTGATGTAGCCTTAGTTTTATTTAAAAACTATTATTTGAAAATACCATATTTTAAGTTGAAGTAGGATGGGGCCACATTATTCGTGGACTAGTTGAATCAGCTGCTCCCCGTAGAGAATCTAAAAATGCAAATGGACAAAAAACTATTGAATAAGACAATTATATTAGCAACCCCAGACTTATCCTAGATTATAGACTGGCTTTACTCAAGTTATAAATAATTCTCAATTTTTAATTTAGTAAGTTTTATCTACTATCAGTTTAATAAGATGGAAATTAAAATTTCACTAACTTACAATAATGCTTTTAACAAAGGCAACTTTGTAAGGTTCTAAAACTACAAAATTGCATTTTACGACTTCGCTAAAGTTATCTTCGACTATACACTCTAATGAAGTTTTTAATAAAATGTAATGGGTAAAATACGTTTAATTAGTCCGTTCTCTGAAGAAAAACTGCAAATGAGATTCGTTAGATTATCAAAGCATTTTTTTATTACATTACTAGCTTTCACCCGCGACTTCGTCCGCGTGGAATTAAAAAAAAACAAAAATGTTTAGTCTACGTGTTCTTCCAGACTATCCTCTACATCTGTACCAAATTTCATCGAAATCTATTCAGCCGTTTAGGCTACAAACTCTAACAAATCCATCCATCCATCTAAACTTTCGCATTTATAATATTAGTAAGATGTGTATTTTACTAAAAGAGCCATTAAATGCAATTATATGCAACGACAGGGGTTTTCAACATTTTGCAGCCAAGAAATTGTCAAACTAATTTAACCAGTTTCCCAAGCATAATTTAATATCCATTACGTTCCGTACTAAGTGCTGTCAAAGGTAATTATATAACCTTTAAATGTCATCAATTACCACTAATAGTAGAGTCCTTAATCGACTGAACACTCTTACCGATTACAGATTATAGCAACAACTTTGAAGAGTTTTTTTTAATGCCTACTTGTATATTTTATTCGTGTTGTATGAAAGAGATATTGCTATTTAATTTTGAAAGTGTATGTTATTGGAAGTTATTTTAAAAGTTTATGTTAACATGAGAATATGACAATCGATCACATGTTCAATAAGCTTCAGTCTTTAATGATTGATTGACTAAAAATGTTTACTCAGACTGATCGAACATGAATTAACTAAAAACTTACATTTTATACTTATTTAACATACTTAAATTGCAATATTTAATGATGATGCAGTATTCTTATAGCGTCGGTTGTGCAGTAAGTTAAGGTCTACAGGTCCTGGATTTGATAGATTATGTACAAATTCAATTGTTTCTCGTTTTGCGAGTTTCATTTTATGACAAAGGAAAACATCGTGAGGAAACCTGAATTATCTAAGAAAAAATTCACAGTTAACCACGTTAATACTACAACCTTAGGCAACTATGGTAAACGGTAGCTGCCCATAATTTAATGTGAGCCTTTAGGCCTTTAGTGGAAAAGCTTATGTCTAGGAGTGGGCAGACCAAGCTTGATGATGAGTGTTTAGGTAGGGAGAAATAAACACTGACAATGTTCTAATCTCATTTATCCTAACAATGGTAATAAAATTTAATATCAACAACATATTTCATGTTGCTCGCAACTTCACCCGTGTGAAATTAAAAAAGAATAATAAAAAATATAGCCTATGTTACTTAGTTAAATTACCTTTCTACGGTAAAATAATGTTTAAAATCGGTCCAGTAGTTTTTGAGTTATTTAAATACATACAAATCTTTCCTCTTTATAATATTAGTATACCAAAGACGAATTTAAGCGATAATAAAACAACATTAAAATTATCAAAACATTTATTCACATTCGATCTATACACTTAGAATTATTAATAAATAAAATTATAAATAGGCGGATTTAATTCTTCTTCTTCTTCTGGTCGGGCAATATGCCCATCTCCACCTGGTATTTCCTGATGAGGTTCTCTTGCACGTCGGGCAAGCACGGCGAGTACCGACTGTACTCCATACTGAACTCGCCTTTGCCTTGCGTCATTGATCTTAACACATATAAAAAATTTCCTCTTTATAATATTAGTATAGTATAGCTGTAGTAGTACTCTGTCTGCGTGTAATTAAAAAAAAACAAGTGTGTCTGTGTGTTTTTGTTCTAGACTATCTTACTAATCTTACCAATAGATGTTTGTTAGAGTTTGTAGATTTTGATGAAACTTGGTACAGATGTAGATGATAGTCAGGAAAAACACATAGGCTACTCACTTTTGTTTTTTTAATTCTACGAGGACGGAGTCGCGGGCGAAAGCTAGTGATCTATATTTATGCCAAATTTCGTCAATATCCTTTGAGCCGTTTGGATGATATTTTCAAACAAACATCGATATATTCATCTAAACTTTACCATTTACAACACTAGCTTTCACCCGCGATTCCGTTTGTGTGGAACTAAAAAAACTTGGTATGTTGCCTATGTGTTCTAACAGACTATCCTCTACATCTTTGCGAAATGTCGTCGAGATCCGTTCAGCAGTTTAGGCTACAAACTCTAACTATTCATGCATCAAAACTTTCGCATTTGTAATATTAGTAAGATTATTATATTAAGTGATTTCAATCATTGGTTTCTTTAAGACGTGGATATTTTTTCGAACTTGACACTAATTAAACAGAAAATTAAAAATAATTACAAGATTTAGGGTCTGTTCCACCACTGGCTGATAGATGCTCAGATAGCTTAAAAATGACGTTACTGTCATAAGGTAAGAAAATCCGATTTTCCATACATATTTTACAGGTTAGATTATCAATTTACAATTCGAAGGGCAGGCCCTTAATTTGCAACCTAAACTATAATAAATTAGCCTCGTTTCTTACCTCAATTCTCCAGCATATCCGAACATATTGTTGAGTGGTACTTCAGCGTATATCGTGGTCCAGCCCTCCGAGCCCTCGGTGCCGGTGATGATGCCGCCGCGCTTGTTCAGCTGCCCGATCACCGTGCCGTGCGACTCCTCGGGCGTCGTCACCTCCACAAACATTATAGGTTCCAAGATCTGCCAGCTGCCGTTGTCGAATACTGCGAACATGCAGTTGCCACGTGGGACAGAAATTCCATTTTCGGCATTTGATTGAAGAAAGAACTTATTTAAGTTATTAAAAAAGAAAAAAAACATACATTTAAGGTTAAAGATGTAAGAAAGAACTTATTTAAGTTAATTTACCTTAAATTGAAACGAGTAGTAAATTGAATTGAAATTATTTTTTACAATATAAGATGGCAAACGAGCAAGCGGCCACCTGAATCCGCCA